CCCAGGTTCAGGCTTGATCCCCAGCAGGGGGCGTGCAAGAGGTAGTTGATTGATGTATCTCTCCTCCCTTCCTCTCAAAAAATCAGTAAAAAAAACCAGTACCATTTACAACAGCATATCAAAACATCAAATACCAAGAAATAAATCTAATGAAAGATTCATAAGAAATATTGAAAACTACAAATGTTTAAGATCTAAACAGTAATCAGCTGGTTGCCTCCCACACAACCCTACCAGGGCCGGGGATGAACTGCAGCCAATGGTTAGCGCAATAGATTGGAATTCATGGATTGGAAGACTCAATATTATAAAGATACTTGTTCTCCCCAAATTGGTCTGTAGTTTCGCTGCAAATGCCAATCAAAATCCCAATGTAGTGGAATTGGCAAGTCTAAAATTGACATGGGAATGCAGAGGTCAAAGTACAGCTATTTTGCCCTGGCCGGTTTTGCTCAATGGTTAGAGCAATGGCCTGCAGACCTATAAGTCACAGGTTCAATTCTGGTCAAGGGCACATACATCAGCTGCAGTTCATCCCCAGCCCTGGTAGGGTTGTGCTGGAGGCAACCAGCCGATGTATCTCTCTCATACTGATGTTTTTCTCCCTCTTTTCTCCCTCCCACTCTATTTAATGATAAATGGAAGAATATCCTCAGGTGAGGATTTAATATATATATATATATTTCAATCTTGAGGACCAGCAAACCTAGATATCAACACATATTGTGAAGCTACAGTATAATTAAGACAATGTTTACTCCTTTACTGGTACCAGGAAAGACAAATAAATTATAAAGAGATGAAATCCATCAACATACCTACAAACAAACATGCAGGGCAATAGGAGAAAGATGGGTTTTTCTTTTTTTTTTTTTTTTTTTTTTATCCTCACCCGAGGATATTTTTCCATTTTTTGTACAGATAGAGTGGGAGGGAGAAAGAGGAAGGGAGAGAGAGAGAGAAACATCGATGTGAAGAGACACATCGAGTGGCTGCCACCCGCACGACCAACCAGGGCCGGGGACAAACTGCAACCGAAGCACGTGCCCTTAGCGGGAACCGAACCCGGGTCTCTCCGGACCGCAGGCCGACGCTCTAACCGCTGAGCCAAACTGGCCAGGGCGGTTTTTCAATAATGATTTTGTGTCAACTGGATATCGATACAGAAAAAAAAATCTTAATTAGCTACCTCATATCTGGTATAATCATTTCCAGATAGACTGAAGAGCTGTATGTTAAAGGTAAACTTTAACGGCTTTTAGAAGAAAGTACAGAAGAGAATGTCTTAACCTCAGGATACACAAAGATTTCTTAAACAGAACCAAAAAAATGGGAGAAGGAGTTTAATTTGGACTATATGAAAGAAAGGCATGCCACAGACCTGAAAAGACATTTACAATACAATTCATACAGTTTTCTGTGTTAAAGAAAACATTAAGGTATAATTATTATAATCATAATAATGTCATTATATATGAAACAACATAATTATAATTTTCATCATAAAACCAAGATGAGTTTAAACCAGCGACTTTCAACTAGTGTGCTGCAAGAATTTTTAAAACATGCAATACCTGACTATTTAGTCAGGGATGCTGACCTCTTTACTCTTAGATTGTCAAATTAAAGAATGACAACATGCCCAGCCAGTGTGGCTCAGTGGTTGAGCGTTGACCCATGCACCAAGAGGTCGCCAGTTCAATTCCCGGTTAGGGCACATGCCCAGGTTGTGGGCCCAGTCCCCAGTGGGGGGCATGTAGGAAGTGATGTTCTCTCTCATTGATGTTTCTATCTCCCTCTCCCTTCCTCTTTCTTTAAAATCAATAAAGAAAAAAAATTTTTAAATGACAGCAGCCAACACAACAATAGCCGTTTAGTGTGAATGAATCAAAATATATTTTTTGATGTGCTGCTGAATTTTAGTAATTAGTTTATGTGTATTGTGAGATGAAAAGGGTTGAAAATCACTTGTGTAAACATCTAAGGAAGAAATAATGCCAATGTTACACACTCTCAGAAAATAGAACACTTCCCAATTCATTTTTTATTCCTCACCTGAGGATATTTTTCTACTTATCAGATAGAGTGGGAGGGAGGGAGAGAGACAGAGAGAAACATCGATGTGATAGAGCCACATTGACTGGTTCCCTCCCGCATGACCCCACCAGGGCCAGGGACGAACTGCAACTGAGGTACATGCCCTTGACCAGAATTGAACCCACAACTTATTGGTCTGTGGGTCGACACTCCAACTGCTGAGCCAAACCAGCCAGGGTCCAATTCATTTTTTATGAAAGCAGCATAACCCTGATATTAAAACAGGACATTCAACTCTGGCTGGTGTGGCTCAGTTGGTTGAGCATTGTCCCAGGCACCCTGAGGTTGCAGGTTGGATTCCCCATCAGGGCACATGCCCACTAAGGGGCTTGTATGAAGCAGCTGATTGATGTTTCTCTCTCTCCCTCTTCCTTCCTCTCTAAAATCAATAACATTTTTTTTTCAATGCAAGGACATTTCCAGGAAGTAAAATTACAGAGCAGTATCCCTTTTGTGGACATAGCTACAAAAATCTTTACCCAAAAATTAGCAAATTGAACACAATGTATAGAAAAGGACCATCATGACAAGTGGGACTTAACCCCAGTAATGAATGCTAGATTGGCTTAACATTCAAGAAGCAATCAGTGTAATTGACATTAATGAACTAAAGAAGGAACACCATATAATCATTTCAATATATGCAAAAACAATGGACAAAATTCAACACCCAGTTATAATAAAAACTCTGCCAACTAAAAATAGGTGGAACCTTCCTCAATCTGATAAAGGTCATCTAAGAAAAATAGCTAACATCGTAATGATGAAATACTTACGATACTAAAGGTATTCCCCTAAGATCTGGAGCAAGACAACGGTGCCTATTGTCACCACTTCCAGTATTGTATGGTATAGGGTGCTGGGCAGTAATACCAGCAGTAGGTAGATTGGAAAAGAAGAGAAACTGCCCTTCACAGAAATTAAACTGTCTATAGAATCCCGAGGAACGTACAGAAAAGACCAAAGAATGATAAGTTCTTTTTTTTTTTATTTTTATTTTTTTTGGTACATGCCCCTAGTGGGAACCGAACCCAGGACTCTGGTCCGCAGGCCGACACTCCAACCACTGAGCCAAACTGGCCAGAGCATGATAAGTTCAGCAGCATCGAGTAAAAAAGGTGAATATACAAGTCAGTTATATTTCTATATGCTAGAAATGAACAGTTGGAAGATGAAATTTTTAAAAATCGATACCATTTTTGTTTAATCCTCACCAGAGGACATTTTTCCATTTTTGGTTCAGATAGAGTGGGGGGGGAGGGAGAGAGAAACATTGACATGAAAGGGACACATGGAGTGGCTGCCTCCTGCACGACCCAACTAGGGCCGGGGACAAACTGCAACCGAGGTACATGCTTTTAAAGGGAACAGAACCCGGGTCTCTCTGGACCACAGGCTGATGCTCTAACCACTGAGCCAAACTGGCCACAGCAAATTTATACCATTTTTAATAGCACCTAAAATACCTAGGGATAAGTATAAAAATGTACAAGATCTCTACACCAAAAAAATCAAAACATTGCTGAGGGAAATAAAAAATGGAGAGTGACATTGAGGATTGGAAGATGTAATTATCTGCACAGTGATCTCTAAAATACAGACTGTTTTATGGAAAATGACAAGCCAAGTCTAAAATGTCTATGAAAATGCAAAAGATCCTCACACCATAAACCCTCATAAGTCCCAATGGGTGAATGGAAAAACAAAATATTTACACCAACAAAGTATTGAGAGTATAAGAATGTCATTATGATTCCAAGGCAAGAATGGATTTTTTTAGGAAACACTGCACAATTGTTAAATTTAATGAAATTTAATACGCAGGATTCCATAAGCAAGTTTAACACAAAAAGGACTAGAGAATACAAATCAGTAAGAAAACGACTGGTTAACAAGAAAACATAACAAACACTTGTATGTGTGGGCAAGTAGGTACATAGAACAATTTCACTTTAAAAAAAAAATGCGTCCAGGCCCATGAGGCTCAGTGGTTGAGCGTTGACTCATGCACCAAGAGGTCCGCTGGTTGATTCCTAATCAGGGCACATGCCCAGGTTGTGGGCCCCATCCCCAGTGGGGGGCGTGCAGGAGGCGGCCAGTTGATGTTCTCTCTCATTGATGTTTCTCTCTCCCTCTCCCTTCCTCTCTAACATCAATTTTAAAAAATATTTTTTAATATATATACTTTTAAAAACCTGTAAATATAATTTGAGCAGTATTTTGTATCATTCAAAATGAATCCAAGGTTCATTTCTACTAAGCGGAACACATAAATAAAATAATGATTCCCCACGAAGATGCTGTCGAGAACACAGAATTGGACCACAGAAAATACAGCCAAGCTGCCCTGCCTCGCGGGGAACCCACCTCGAGAGAACCATCAGCGGGACGCTGCGGGTATATGAATAACCACCAGGCAGCCGGGTCAAAGGACTCAGACCTCCACGGAGACCTGACCGGCCACCTCCCTCCCCGTTCCCACCACCTTGCCAGGCTCACTCACAAGCAGGGTTAAAAAAAAAAAAAAAAAAGGCAAGTAATAAGATACTAACTTCCTAGACGGCTCCTGCGGCTCCTGCGCCGCCGCAGCAAGGCTGTAGGAAAGGGGCGCCTGAGAGCCCTTGGTGCGAACGCCGGGAGAGGGCGCGCCCAGCTCAGGCCGAGGCCCCGGCCTGGGTAGCCCCCTTGCTGTAGCCCCCTTGCTGCGGGGCGCCGGAACAGCCTCTCTAGACGCAAGGTCCACCTGGAAGGCCCCGCGCCCACTGAGGACGAGGTGCCAGAGCCCACTGCTGGGCCCCAAGGAACACACACACGACCCACCTCCAGGAGTCTCCCCTTGACCTCCCCCAGACACGGAGAAACCACACGTGAGACAGAGGTGACCACGGCCGACATGATGAGTCCTAGGCGGGCAGCAACCCGCGCGCGCGCAGCTCTAGCAGCGGGGACAGCGTGTAGCGCAAGCGGCGGAAGGCGGTGTCCGAGCCCAGTCGTGGGAGCAGGCGGCGGAAGGCGGCGGGGTTGACCAGCACCACGTAGAGCAGCGGCAGCGTCAGGAAGCCGAGCGGGAGCAACAGCAGCACCTGCAGCGCACTCAGTGCCCACAGCCTGCGGACCGATGGACGCAAAGACAAACAGGCCGTGGCCCGCAAGGTACGTGTCGGGGTGTGGGGGGCGCCGGCCAGAGTCCCGTGCTCCCGCCGCCTGCCCCTTGGCTCACCTGACGCCCGTCGCGCCCGCGCCCGTGCCGCCGAACAGCCGCTTCTCCTACGGGAAGAGGAGCGGCGTCCAGCTCTGCGCCTGCCTCCTGGGAGCGGCGACTTACCTCACGAGCGGACGGGAATCGCAGGACTAGTACCCGGTGTGTGGGAGCCTCCCTGGGGGCGGGTCCGTCGGAGGACGGGCCCTCGTGGGGAGGCGGGCCCCGTGAGTAGGAGCCTCCTTGGGGCGGGTCTGCCGGGGGCGGGCCCCCATGGGGGTGGTTCCGTCGGGGGAACCTGGGGGGGGGACGGGACTCCGGTGGGTGTGCCGTAACCCCCCTGTAGGAGCGGTCCAGACTCCAGACCGCCCTGCCGGGCCGCGCGCTCACACATTCAGCCTTGGCCACCTCCTCCATGAGGGACCCCGCGGAGTCCTGCACCCGGCGAGGCTGAGAGTTGCAGCTGCGGAACGGGCGTCGAGATGGGCGATCTGCTCCAGCCACAGTTACCCCGCCACACCCAACACGCCTTAATCCCTTACAATTCCGGGCTGCTTCGCGAGGCATCCAGCGCAGCAGCCGCCTCCATCACCTTCCCCTGCAGCTCCTGGAGTGGGTGGGAGTGAGGTCTCAGGACTGGGAAAGGGTCGGAGGAGGTGGGGACGGGAGGCGGGCCGCCGCCGCTCTGGAGGAGGGGGGATGGAGACGGCAGTGGAGTCTGAGGTGAGTGGCTCTTAGGGCAGGGGGGCGAGGCACCTGCAGGACTCCACTCTGCTCCTGGAAGCTGGCCCAGGCCTCCTCCGTCCGCTGTACGCCCTGGGATGCGGAGAGCTTCGATTAAACTCGGGGGGAGGGGGGCCGGGCTGTGTACACATCCACCTTTCACTTTACTGCACCAGCCCAGCCTCCACCCACATCCAAAGCAGACCCACCCCTTCGAACCTGGCTCCGCCCTCACCTGCCTCAGGCCCTCCGCTTGCAGCGCGTGCTTGGCCTCCAATAACTCCAATTGTTTCTTCCATTGAATCCAAGTTATGTGAGGCGCGGGGTCGCCCGGTATCCAGCCGCGCCTCAGGGTCTCGCCCCCGACCCTCAGGACCCCACCCCCACCCCTGCCCACGGTGTGTCATGGTCCCACCCACGCTGCTGCTCCAGCCCTCAGGGCCCCACCCAAGCACCTGCAACGCTAACAGTTGGGTTCCGAGTTGCTGCTCTGCGCGCTGCTGACTCAGTTGTTCCCCTCCGTAGTAAAAGAGCTGGGGGTGGAGCTTTGTGAGGGCGGGGCTTGCGGGCTTCAGGGACCGAGGGAATATCCTGGGAGGCGGGGATGGGGCTGAAATGGGGGCGGAGACTAGAGCGGGTCTTCTAGGGGAAGTAAACTGCATTCCCTGAACATACCTGACTTGACAGCTCTTCCCACTGCCCCTGCAGCTGCTGGTTGTGTTGCTCCTGCAGACAGGATCGAGGGGGTGATTGGAGCCTCTCTGATGCCCTCGCCGCCTTCCCTGGCCTATCCACGGCCCCGCCCTCACTGAAGGCACTGCTTCCTCCAGGACCCAGTCCCCACCAGGTCCCTCTTGCGCTGCTCCGCCTCCTCCAGCAGTCCGCGCGCCCGCTCCGCGCGCTCCCGCGCTGCCTCGCGCGCCTCCCCTCGCAGGGCCTGCGCCGCCTGGCTTCGCCTCCGCTGCAGGCTGCAGAGGGAAAACGTGCTCCCACCGTTGATCGGGCCGAGGAAGCCCACGTCGGGTCTCCGTGCTCTAGACTCCACCCTCTTCTTCGTGGGTCCCCTGAGTAGATAGCCCCGGTCCCGACGGCCCAGAGCATAGGTTCGGGCTGGGCAGGCAAGAGTACTGACGGGTCGGCCGGAGGTTGTAGGAAGCCCCGGGTGCAACCGCCGGCATGACCGACCGACCGTCGCGCACCCGCCCTGCCTAGTGGAGCCGCGCTCCCCGCGCACCTGCGCTCACGCTCGCGCAGATCCTGCAGGCGCCCGGTGAGGCTCTCGCTCTCAGCCTCGAGCACACGCACCAGCTCCTCCAGCTCCTGCTTCCTCAGGCGGCCGTCGCGGTTGTCCTTCTGCAGCTGCAGCAGCAGCTCTTGCGTCTCGGCCATGGCTCCCCGGGCTCTGCCCCACAGCCGCTGCCTACCTCCGGACCAGCGGCCCGCGCGCGTCACAATGGGCGGCTGGAGGCGTCCGGGCGCAGGTGTCTTTGGGGAGGAAGATTCCCATTGGTTTTTCCCTCATCACTCACGGGCCAGCTAGGGCATACTCATTCCTAAGGCAGCCACCAGCAAATGGGAATGGAACCAAGATGAAGGTATGGGACGAGGGCCCACCATTGACAAATGGTGCTGGGAAAAGTAACTCACGATAAAAAGAGAAATAAAAGTAGATCTCTACATCACATTCTATATAAAAAGTAACCCTAGAAGGATCAGAGACTTAAATGGAGAAGGCTTGAGACTTTGGTGTGGGGAAAGATTTAACCACATCACAGCAAGCAAGTCTATGTACAGATAGAGTGGGAGGGAGAGAGAGGAAGGGAGAGACAGATGGGAGAAGGGAGAGAAAGTTGATGGATTCCATTATATCAAATTGAGGGATTTCTGCTTATCAAAAGACACCTGGTAACAGCGATGCTCTCTCTCCTGTTTGGAGGTTGAGTTACCTGAGTGTAGACATTGGTCAAAACTCATTCCAGCCCTGGCCGGTTTTGCTCAGTGGTTAGAGCGTTGACCTATGGTCTGGAGAGACCCGAGTTCGGTTCCCTCTAAGGGCACGTACCTCGTACCTTGGTTGCTATTTGTCCCCGGCCCTGGTTGGGTCATGTGGGTGGCAACCACTGGATGTATCCCTTTCACATCCATGTTTCTCTCTCTCTTTGCCTCCCTCCCTCCCACTCTATCTGAACAAAATATCAAAAAATAATAATAATGTCCTCGGGTGAGGATAAAAAATTTAAAAATAATTTTAAAAACCTCATTCCACCCTGATTAGAGTCCACCTGATAGGACAAAGGTTCAGGTTCGAGCCCTGGTCAGTGCACATACAGGACAATCAAAAATATAAATAAAGGCCCTGGCCAGTTTGGCTCAGCGGTTAGAGCATCGGCCTGTGGTCCAGAGAGACCCGGGTTCTGTTCCCTTTAAAAGCATGTACCTCGCCCTGGCCAGTTTGGCTCAGCGGTTGGAGCGTCGGCCTGCGGTCTGGAGAGACCCGGGTTCGGTTCCCGCTAAGGGCACGTACTTCGGTTGCAGTTTGTCCCCGGCCCTGGTTGGTCGTGCGGGTGGCAGCCACTCGATGTGTCCCTTCACGTCGATGTTTCTATCTGTCTCTCCCTTCCTCTCTCTCCCTCCCACTCTATCTGTACAAAAAATGGAAAAATATCCTCGGGTGAGGATAAAAAATATATATATATATGGGGAGCAACAAATCGATGTCTGTCTCTCTCCTCCCCCCTCAAATCAATTTTAAAAAACTTATCCCACAGATGAGTTTAAGATCTATGCATTTTACTTTATGTAATTATACCTTACTTAAGAAGAGCCTACTTAGAATAAAAAGATACAATGGGCAAATGTTATAAATGGGTGACAAAATGGGAAAGGATCTTTTTGATCTTTGTAATCCATTGATCCATAACTCGATTATATGGGAAATACTGGGCCACCACAAGAAAAAGCAAACATCAAAGGGCAAAGGGTCTCATGGAGGCAGTACCCAAGGGAAGAACTTTAAAGCCCAACAAGAACAGGCAGAGACACTGCACTTTCTATCCACCAGAGCAGCTAACATGAAGACATTGTTTGACATCAAATATAAGCAATGTGAGTGAATAGCACACACTGCTACTGGCATCATCTTGAGACATTTGGGGGAATGATTGAGCAAAGAGTGACAGGTATGGTGGCCCCCCGTTACCCCCAATTCCACTATGGAGTAAGTTCAAAGGAAGTTTCTGACATGTTCTCAAAGCACCAGGAAGAGCCTAAGATCCCACCAATGTCAGGGAATCAGAGCAAAATATGAATGAAAATTTCTAAAGGAAACTGGTAGAGCACTTAAAATGAGCTAGGATTGCCCTGGCCAGTTTGGCTCAGCGGTTAGTGTATAGGCCCAAGGACCAGAGAGTCCCGGGTTCGGTTCCTGCTAAGGGCACGTACCTCGGTTGCGGTTTGTCCCTGGTCCCAGTTGGGGTTGTGCGGGTGGCAACCGGTCGATGTGTCTCTCTCACATCGATGTTTTTTTCTCTCTTTCTCCTTCTGTCCCTCCTGCTCTATCTGAGGATTAATGTGAAAATGTCCTTGGGTGAGGATAAAAATATAAATAAATAAATAAGCTAGAATCAACTAAAATCAGCATGAACAGACCTAAGAATTAAGCTGATCATAAAAAATAGGACGTATGCCCAGCCGGTGTACCACAGTGGTTGAGTGTCAACCCAGGCACCAAGAGGTCGTCAGTTTAATTCCTGGTCAGGGCACATGCCCAGGTTGTAGGCCAAATCCCCAGTGGGGAGGCATGCAGGCGGCAGCCAATTAATGTTCTCTCTCATTGATGTTCCTCTCTTTCTCCTCTTTCCTCTCTCTCTAAAATTAATAACGGAAAAAAATCTATTTTAAAAAATAGAAAGTAGAATGAGATGTACCCATAACAGTGTTTGCATAAACCAAATATGGGTGTGAGTGGAGGTGGGGATGGAGAGAATGAGGAGAACAGGACTGGGAGTGGGGAGAAGGGTCTGTGCATGGACCTTGGATGAGGATGAGTGATGCATACTGTATCTGGGGGCCAGCAGAGGGTCCCCAGGAGAGTGGAGTCTGCAAGTGACAACTCTGCAGATACCAAGTGGGGTTCAGGAAGCCAGCTATAACTAAGAGCTGGGTCTCCCCTCACTAATGTTGAAAAATGTAAGCAAGACTGAAGTTACCTTAGATTTTCATTGTAGATTAAAAATGACCACACATTTCCTGCAGTCCTGCTATTAGGAGGTGGACCCTGTTTCCCAAGCCCATTAACCTGGGCTCACTCCCTCGTCTTGCTCTCACTAAGAAGAAGTAGAAATGACTTGTGAGTCTGGGCCTTGGAGCCTTTCTCCCTTAGAATCAAGAGAAGCCTGGTGGGCTGGCAGCCAGCTCAGACCATGCAGCCCAGCCAGCCCTGAGATGACCGTAGACCCCAGATGACATCTGCAGAACTGCCCAGCTCAGCTCAGCCCAGTCTAGCCCAGCCCAAGTTGCCGACCCAAGAGAATCAAGACTAATAAAATGGCGTTTTAAACCACTGTTTTGAGGGTGATGTGTTTTGTTTACAGCACAGGGTCTGTTATGTAGCAAAGGATTACTGGTTACTAGTTGGTACTTGTATGAATGTGACACCATGCAGTGAGCAGGCCACTGGGGTGGGGGCAGGGTAATTTTTTTTTTCTTTTTATCCTCACCTGAGGACACTTTTGCATTTATCTTCAGATAGAGTGGGAAGGAGAGAGGGAGGGAGGAAGAAACATCGATGTGAGAGAGACACATCAAGTGGCTGCCACCCACACGACCCCAACCAGGGCCGGGGACAAACTGCAACCGAGGTATATGCCCTTAGCGGGAACTGAACCCGGGACTCTGGTCCGCGGGCCGACGCTCTAACCGCTAAGCCAAACTGGCCAGAGCACAGGGTAACTTTATTCTTGGCATCTCTTGTGTTGGTATCTGTCCCCTAGAGGTCAAAGATAAACCCCAGGTAGCACGGGGACGGGGATGGCAGGTGCTGTGCATTCTCAATGTCCATCTCCCCAGGCACATGATCCTATGAACTCCTTCAATCCTTACATACCCAAGGATGTGGCACTTAGGTCCTCAGTTTACAGAGCCACATGAGGGTGCATGTGTCCCTGGAGGCACCACCACCACCCTTGGCTTCAAACCCAGGTTGATCTGAATCCAAAGAACCTGCATCTGATATTCACCTTTTCCAGCTGTTGGGTGTCCATACATCAGCCTGGCGTCTGCTCTCATTCAAGGTTCCCATGGATCAAATTCCTACAGCAGGTTGTAATATGGGCCACCCTCAGCAGGACAGGGTTTTGGGGGGAGGTGTTTATTTGTTGCTACTGTTCCTTCCTGGAGGGCAGGGAGCAGACCCTGGTCATCAGCCCACGGCCTGGGGCGGGGGTGAGGGGGTTAACCAGCTACTTAGGATCAATCATTTCTCTTCCAGATAAACTACAGAGCTGTCTTGTCAAAATTTCCCAAGTACCTTGTTGGGAATCTATATCAGGATTGCAAACAACCCCTATGTTAAGTCAGTCTATTAAATGGGAAGAATGGACACTTTCCACTCGTCAATGATCTGCCCTGGGAATAGAGCACTTCGGTCCAAACCTACAAGTCTTGTTTCAGCATCTGTCATTTTCAAATAGGTTCAGCACATTTATCAAGGTTATGCCTGTGTAGTTTACTATTAAGCAAAGGCTCTTTTTTGTTTTTTAATCTTCACCCAAGGATATTCTTCCATTTGTATTTTTAGATAGAGTTGAAGGGAGAGAGGGAGAGAGAAACATCAGTGTGAGAGAGACACATGAACTGGTTGTCTCCTGCACGACCGCTACCAGGGCCCAGGGTCGAACCTGCAACCAGGTACATGCCCTTTACTGGGAATTGAACCCGAGACCTTTCAGTCCTTGAGCCGACACTCTAACCATTGAGACAAACCAGCCAGGGCAAGGCTCTTTTCTTTTTCTAAATGACAGTCATGGCATTCGTGTGTGATGGGTTGAATTGTGTCCCTCCACCTAATTCATCGGTTGAAGCCCTAACCCCAGCATCTCAGAATGTGACCTTGTTTGGAAATAGTGCCTTTGTGAACATAATTAAGATGAAATCATATTGCAGGGGGTGGGCCCCTAACCCAATGTGCTGGAGTCCTTATATAAAGGGGAGATTGGAGCCCAGCTGGTGTGGCTCAGTGGACTGAGTGTCAACCCATGCACCAAGACGTCACTGGTTCCATTCCCAGTCAGGGCACATGCCTGGGTTGTGGGCTTGATCTCCAGTAGAGACTGTGCAGGAGGCAGCCAATGGATGTCTCTCATCAATGTTTCTCTCTCTCTCTCCCTCTCCCTTCCTCTCTAAAA